GTAACAACATATTTGGAGAAACACGATACAAAAAAAAAGGATGACAGAAAAACGTGGAATTGGCCTGAAGCGAGCAGCCGCACAGGCTCTTAGAAGCCGAGGCTCTAAGAAATCACGAAAAGACCGGAGGTGGTGACAGACAATGTGCTCGAAGTTTTGATATGACCGTCAAATGAAGTTGCGCACCATAGAATGTGAGAAATACTAATGATTTGAGAGATTTGCCGTGTGGAAACTAAAACACACCAGAAAATACTGACAAAAATTGGGGGGAAGTGTAGCCTCCGTAACTAAATTTCAGGTCAGTGGAAAATACCGTACGTATTTAAATTTTTGGTTAGCTGGAAGTTATAGTTGAAATTTCAGTTCAGACAAAGGTTATAGATGAAATTAAATGTAGATATGGAAGTTATAGTTTAAATTAAAATTCAACAAACATGGGTTGTTACTTCTGTGGATGAAATGACTGTTGGCGAAGGAAGAGAACAAGAAATTAGGAAAGGTTGTTCTAAGTAAGTTTATATTGCGGGACGGTATGATTTTTAGTACTTTTACAATAGCCGTCGAAAAAAAGTTCCAGTTTAAATTTTTTTCATGCTGAAAGTTCCAGTTCTCGTTTTAAGGACCGTTTCACCTATTGCTTTGCCTGAATTTTTTAAGAATTCGAATTTCATAATTTTAAAACTGAGCAGTGTCCTCTAGTAGTAGTATCAGGATACTCCGTAGTAACAGCAACTCGTATCAGCAACCCGTATCAGCGTCCTCCATATCAGTGAGCGTCCTCCGTATCAGTGACTCGTATCAGCGGCTCGTATCAGCGGACACCGTATCAGCGAGCCTCCGTATCAGCATCCTCCGTATCCGTAGCTCCTACGTATCACCAATCCTCCGTATCTCCATATCAGTGACTCTTATCAGCAGGGAGCCTCCTATCAGAATCTGGCTCCTCCACATCACCGTATCAGTGAGCCTCCGTATCAGCAACTCCTCCATATCACCAATCCTCCGTATCTCCGTATCAGTGACTCGTATCAGCGGGGAGCTTCCTATCAGAATCCGGCTCTTCCGCATCACCGTATCAGCGGACACCGTATCAGCGAGCCTCCATATCAGCATCCTCCATATCAGTAGCTCCTCTGTATCAGCAACTCCTACTACGTATCACCAATCCTTTGTATCTCCGTATCAGTGACTCGTATCACCAGCGGGGAGCCTCCTATCAGAATCCGGCTCCTCCGCATCACCGTATCAGTACCTCATAAATTGGTTGATTGTTACTTTCTTGGAAAAACCAATGTTAAACTGGTCTTGTACTAGTACAAAATCATCCAGAAATGGCAGTCCTTTGAATGCCCACAAACATTGCCCTTATGGTGACATACCCCACTTCCATGATGAAGATCATCATTTCCATGATGAATATGCTCTCCTCCTGCCATTCACTGGCTGGTCAGTAGACATATTGGCTTGGCACTACACCCTTCAGACTGTATGGAGATCCGCAATGCAAATAACTTGAATACGGAGATCCGCACTTGATGTATCGCAGACCGCAAATAACAACGCAAATAACTTGAGGACTACGGAGATCCGCACCGCACGCCGGTCCCTTGAGTATCCGCAAACGCAACGACCGTTTGCTTGAGTATCAAAGCGTCCCCAAGCCAGTTCCTTGAGTATGAGACAGTTAATCGCCCTTTCGCTTGAGTATAAAAGTGTCGCAGGCCAGTTCCTTGAGTATCCGCAACCTCAAACGCGTCCGCAGACCAGTTCCTTGAGTATCCGCAAACGCAACAGCCGTTTGCTTGAGTATGAGACTGTTAACAGCCGTTTCGCTTGAGTATGAATAAACGCTTGCAGGTGAGTATGAATGAGCGCTTGATTTGCTTCCGGAGGACGAGTATGATGCGGCGATTTGATGTGTTTGCTCCGTATTTTGCTCGTATTTTTGTTGGTGGAGGTGCAGCATTGGATGGAGGTGCCTCAGTACTGATTCGCTGTAGGAAAATACGTACGTATACTACGTAGGATCTTGCCTTTAATAGCTCTAAAGCCTATTGTTCCCTCCCTAGAGCCGTGTACGATTTGTACTGGCTCCGGACCTGTCACGGCCTCATTTGCCTTCCAACCTCGTATTCAAAAGGGTTATTATTGGTACTTGAGGAAGCACTATTGAATACTTTGTTCGTTGCACATTCGAAGAATCAAATCAAAAATAAATCAAACCTGAAACTTCCAACGTTTTCGTCCCCTTCCTACCAACTTTCGCTCMGTAGCCTCTACAATGATCTCAGTCCGGAGCAGCACATACAAATCCATCCTCGTCCTCCTCGTGGCCTCAATCATGGAGGCAATGTCCGTCTTACTCAAGAGCAACAACGAGACCAGTGCCGAACTCGACGTAACGGACATTATGGACGTCGACGGCTCCGATGGCGAGATTGATGGTCTAGAGGCGAGCGGTGCCGCTGCCGCGTGGTCGTCCCTTGTTGTTCTTTTTACTTCGTTCATGGGCGCAAGTTTTTTGGGTTCATAATGGAAATGCTGCGATAGSATACGATAGTACAGTGTATGTCAACATACGACACTAAAATAATACAATATTTTACCACCAGGTACCATAAATATGATACTGTAGTTGCACGACAACGCGATTATGCGATAGTATGATAAGTATTATTTTACATTGTAACATGGTGATCGCCAGTGATGGATATCATGTACGTATGGGGAATTCGTAAAGCCGACCCAAAAATTTATTTCTCCAAAGAAAGTAAAAGCTTCTTGGGATGTTCAATTCTTTTGCTGGAGAGATGGGGTCGTATCTTTGCTATATTTCCAATGCAACAGCGGAATTGGAGGCTGATGGTTTCAAAACATGACTCCTTTACTAGTAGTAATGGCAAGACTTTATTAGTAGTACCATCATTAGTAGAAGGACATGTCAGCCATATGGAAAAGTTAGCAGTGAAGAGACATTTGGTGATGAATTCCTATTAGCAGTATGTGAAGCTGCTTCTTTTGCATAGATTTCTAACCATGTATCAAGGATTTTTCAAATGATGTAGTTCCATGAACAAACTTGCTTTCCCTCACTCTCTACACGATGTACTGTCCAAAATTAGTTTTCTCATAGCATAGCAAGATATTATTGATTCACTTCGAAATCGAGCAGTAAGTTATTGTCTACTCGATCACTGGACGCAAATCAAATATAGCAGTTGATTCTTCGAATGCTGCCGACAAGCTAAGTTAGCCATTCGGTTTCAATGAAAATCGTTTTTGTGCTTGCTCATCTGGATGGCCATTTTCCGCGCTTCCTCCATGTTGGACGGGAGGACGTTTCGGATCTCCATTCCGGGGTCCGCTGCAAACGTGTAGATAAATTTGTTCGATAGCTTGGCGGAAGCTTGTTCCGGTTCCACGACCCATGCCGATACCTCGATCGAGATCACGGGCACGTCCTTTTGGCCTTTGTAAAAGTTGAAATTCCGGAGCTCCTCGTGGACGTCTGCGTGAATGACCTGCGCCGAAAAGTTGGTGAGGTCACCCACGCTCACTGGGATGGTGAATGCGACCTGGTCGACCTCTAGGAACCTGGGACGGCGTCCCGCAAAGACATAGGCCGTGGCGTATGCCAGGTCAAAGGCCCGCCGCATCAAGAATCCACCGAATATTTGGTTTGCCAGGTTCGCGGTTTGCGGCTGGGCCAGTTCGCAGTTCTGCAGCTTGGTTTGCTCCATCAGGATCGATTTGGGGTTGGCGAGACTGGGAATGTTCTTCAGCGGTCCTGCCTCGCGCAGCAGTCCCACCGCCACCTTTTCGATCTCCGGGTCGAGGGGGGTTTCGAAGTTTTTCAGCTTTTTTCGCCCCTCCTTTCGCAGCTGGGCACGTCGCGCCCCGGCCTCGAACTGGTCTTTTTCGAGCCACGTCTGTGGATCGAGGGGCGGGATTCTCATTGGTTTCTTCTCGCTGTCGACGGCAACGAAGGTAAAGTAGGCTGCCAGCGATGTAAACGCCAGTGAATGGGTCGAGTGGAGCAGGGTAGAACAGTGGTGAACAGATGGACAGATTTTTTCGACGTACAATACTCGG